TTAATTCGTTTTTCCGCATTATTGTTTATCACAAGATTATTTTGGAAATTTGTGAAATATTCATCTCACGATTATCGAAACTTAATCTCTGATGTACTACCTTGTTTAACCTTTAACAAAGCAACATTAATTTAAAATGATATACTTTGCTCAAAACTTTTGTCAATCATTTTTGTCAGCCAATCTGATACCCATTACCGTACATGTATCCAAAGAAATCATACAAACAACAATATCACCAGATATACTCTTGTAGTGAATAAATACCAGATGAATTTGGACTTTATAACTCTTACGGAATATCCGTGCTTTAAAATTAAGGGAAAACAGACATCATGAAATCCTTTATTTTCGCCACTTTCTTTGCACTTTTACTTAACTTTGTAAGTGCTCATTATAAACTTTTAGTGCCAACACCTAGAAGTAATGCTGTTTCGAGTTACGGTGCTCCATGTGGTCTAAATTATACTGTGGTTAATCAAACCACCATTAGCACTTTTCCTAGTGAGTTTGCGAGTTAATCTCCGTGTAAAATTATCAGTTTTTTTATTCATCTTTAACAATATTTATCTATTATAATAGTAAAGGGTAATGTTACACTCGACTTGCTCCATGCTACCAATGGTACTTTGTTCTATTATTATTCTACCGATGGCATTAATTTCGTTCTAGTGGCAGGTAATTCATTATATGATATGATTTGTCTTTCTTTTTTCGCATTGCTTGAATTTATACTAATTGTCTTATTTTCGTTACAATCAATAAAGATTCAAAGAAATATATTATAACTAATCCAACGGGCGAAAATGTAACAACTTCCGTTGATTTGTCTAAAGCCGGTGCAACTGTTGGCAGTCAAGGTATTCTTCAATCAGTTTATCTTGAGGGTAATAATACTTCTCCAACCAATACGACATTGTACGAATGTGCTGATATTAAGATCACTGCGGAAGGTACTCCTCCAGGCCCTGTCGCAAATGTAAATCAAAGCGCTGGTTCTATTAATGTTCCCCAAGTCATTTTTACTCTTTCTATTAGTTTATTGCTGTTTATTTATTTAAGATTTTAAGATTTTAGTAATATAA